ATGCCTTTGCCACCTACGCCATTCAAACGCAATGAAAAAGTTTGGCGAACTAAATTAAAAAATGAACATAGAAAAAACTTTAAAAGACGAAGAAATCATTCTCATTTTCGAAAAAAAGAACTTAAAATAATGAATTATTATTTAAGTATTACTTTTATATACTTTAGATGAGGTCATATCGGACAACTAGGATCTATTAAGAAATAATGACAATAACTGCTGAACGAGTGATGACACATGTGAAAACTGTATTTCAGTGAATGGTGTTAAGATACGTCATTACACATAAATACCATTAACTCCAAATAACATGTCTCGGATAAAAGAAATAGAAAGTTCAAGGCACTTTCGCTCATCTTGTCCAAATGTGTGCACAAGATGGTACAGTACATCAGAATGCCCATCTTATCGACATAATGATAGCAGGAAAAAAGTATGTGTGGCTTAACGATAACTCCAACAAATTGTTTCTATTGTTTGCTGTAATTCGTATTTTTTTGTTTTTCCTTCTGTTAAGGTGCGTTTATATGCTTTAGGACCAGGCATGGGCTAGAAAGTAATATAAATTATAATAAGCATTAACGCAGGATAAAAGTTGTATGAAATATATGCTACAGTAGAATTATACGTGTACATTATATGTGGACAAGGCGGGCGAAATCTATCTCGTATGCCAATTTTTGACAAACAAGTGTTGCCTGTCTTATCCGAAACAGAGTACATAAGATGAAACATCTAAATAAAAAATCGTGCCGGACACTCGGCTACCAAACTCAGTATGGTATGTGAAAAGACCAAGATACTTGTAGGCCTCATAATAAAGTTATAACTGCATATTATCATTAATAAGGCACTCAGTGCAGTCTATAATTTTTATAATTCAGGAGTAAATTAGAAGATTTACTCTTTTGTTGATCATTCTCAGTTAAATAGACCAAAACGCTAAACACTTAAATTTGCTAATGCTGAAGATGCTAATATTAATGCACCTACTTCCACCCGGTATATTATTTTCCTTATATAAAAATATGTTGTTCGTATGTCCATATTATACAAAATGACTCTATTCAAGAAGCTAGATCAATTTGAAAAATGAATATAACATGCATGACTTATTTTAATACAGTACTGTACATGTCTGCGTAATAATGGTTGTCTGTATATTCAGTATTAATTAAATAGCAAATTTGAAAAACCATATCATAGCTTTCTGATAAATAAATTATTTTGTAAAAGCTCGGCAAAGTGATAGTTATTATTGGACGATCTATCAGATTAAAATAAATTTATCAATTAAACGAGCAATTATTTATTGTGACATCGTCATAATACCCGGCTTCAATTTTTAATTACCTGTTTTAATTTATTTAATTTAAAATATATGCTCTTTACCTGAAATTAGTAGTGGCTTGCCCCTGTATATCATACTTTACCTTTAACAATAGAGTCGTGCCGGTCATCTCTCTAACACTTTTCAGGGGAAAATATTTGAATTGAAATAACGGGACTTTCGGTTATCATAAGAAGTTCACATATAGTTATTCGGGGCATCCTGCTCCTAACGTTTCCGTATCTGGTTTGGTCTTACATCTATCTAACTCTATTCTCGAGATTAAAGAAAGAGTCAGATGAACGAACGGACAACGGACGAGTGTGATTTTATGTCTACAATTTTTTTCAAATTTCAGCCCAATTAAAAATAATTGTATGTAGTAAGAAAATAAATATTCCATGCTAATTTTAGTAAAAATGTTTTGCTATTTACAAGTTATAAAAAAATGTAATTAATACAGAATTGAATTTTTAAAAAATAATTTCATTCAAGAAATTTTAGATCGCATTTCCATGCGATCTAAATAAGCAATAAAAGAAAATAAAATAAGCAATTGTAAAAATTAAGAGTAAGCAATTTTTAGAAGAGTTAATTTTTATCTCTTGTTCTTTATTATTATAACAGCGAAAAACGAATGGTTTTTCGCTGTTATAATAATAACAGCGAAATATAATAATGTTTTTCGAAAAAATACTACTGTATACAGTAGTATTTTTTCTACTAATTAAAAATACTACTGTATACAGTAGTATTTTTTCTCTAGTAAATCCAGAATGCAGCAGAATATAAAATAATTTCTATTTATATATATCTATAATAACTATATTTTATATTGCTATTTCTAATATTGTATATTATTTTTATATTTCAATTCTACATTTTATTAAATATATTCATATATAATAGCATTACTTTTATTTATTTCGAATATATTTCAAATGTTTTTGACTCTTATTATGACTAGAATCTTCAGTATATCATAGCTTGTCATCACTATTCCTTAGATTTTTTTCTGAAACTTATGTAAACATTACTTTATGAATATTAAAATAATATGCCGGTAAAATTTTTGTTTTGATTAGTAATAGTTAATTTTGATAGTTTAAATATTTTTTAAATTGTTATCAAAGTAAACTTTAAAAGAAGTTTTTTGTATAGGAAGAATATGGTTTAGGTTTAGGTATAGAAAGAATAAATTGATATTCAATAAAAAAAATCTTTTAAATAAATAAATTTTTAATGTATTCTATAAAGCTTTTAAATAATTCATTCCTCTTCTTATAGTACATCGCATTATTTTTATATTATTTACATATCTGTTATCAGTTTCATAACACATTACTCGTGTGCAAGTAATCCTTTATTTTATTAAATAAAATTTTATTTTCATTTATTAGGAAATTTATTTTTTAAATTAGCACTTGTAATTATTTAGAAGAATTGCAGCATAAGTAATTTGAGACCACTTATTAAAAATACTCCACAATTGCACTTTATACGGATGACTTTCCAGACTTAAATGATTTTTAATAAATTATACGTTTATCTTAGCAAAGGAAATTTCTAAAATTGTATTCTTTAAAAGTTTTTTAGTCACTCATCTCCTGTTTATAAGTTATAAACCTCTACAAAATTATATTGAAAATTGTCATGTTTTTTTACAAATTCTTTTAACCGTGATAAATATTTTTTATAAAGAAATAAAATAAATTACTTATTAGAATTTAATTTATTATAATGATTAATATCAAAGAAAGAATTTTGACGAGAAAATCTGTTATTACGTTTACTTAAATGATACTTAAAACGCTGTTAACCGTAAATTTGAAAATTACTTGTTTCTTTTTGACTAACAAAAATTCTGAGATAAAAATACAAGAAAAGAATTGCTTTGTTCAATTAATGCTATGCAATTTTTTTCATATTGCTCTTCTGTTTTTAGTACTTTGTTCATCAGTTTTATCCGGGTTGTTGGCTTTATTGTTCTGGGGGATAGTCCTTACGTCTATAATGAGATTTGCTGTTGCAAGAGAAAAAATAAAATAAATAAATTTATTGAATTTATTTTTGTTTTAGACGAATTTAAAAGAAATTTCTAGGCCACGTGTATCACGGTAAACCACTTCAGTTTTGAACAATTTAATTAGCTCGACAATTGAAATAATTAATACAGCAGTAAGATTAATTTAATAAACATATTGAATCAGATATAAACAGAATTAAAGAGGGCAATTTTCTTTAAACTCTTAATTTTTTATTATAAACCGAAAATAATTATTAAACAAATTTAAAAAATTCATGCTTCTTAGAAAGAATACTTAAAACTAGTAATTTCGTAGAACGATTTAACATTTATTTTTTTTATCAAACAATCATATAATTTCAAAATATTATTAAAACTTTGAAACTTTTTAATGATTTCATATATTTAAAGTTAACTAATTTAAATGATTTAGAATCTTAATTAAATTAATTACAATACTGTTCGTTTCTATCTATTATATCGTAAAATGAATATTTTAATCGCTCTCATTTCACAAATTTAAAATAAAATAACAGTTTTATTTTATTGAAATCTATAAGCTGAATTCTTATAAAATAAATAAAAATACAAAATATATGTATACATAATTATCATTTTATAAAAGTTTAACGTATAAATATTAATAAGATTATAATAAATATAAGATAAAACAACACCCAATAAAATATATATGTTTTTCTTATT